AAATGCAATCTATTCTTAAATTGGATAATTAATGTGTACAATTCTACTATGATAAATCTCTTTTAGAAGTGTTCAATCAGAATATTCGCAAGGAAATGAATTTAATAATAAATATGTATAAATGTAAGTGTAAATCTGATAGCAGCGTCATATATCTACTTTTACCGGTAAATGTATACATTTACCAACGTATATCGGTAAAAGTTTAAAATAATAAATATGAGATACTATTGTATATTAAGGTTAAAATGTGTGATGGAAATCATTTGTCTCGTGTTTTGGTTTGCAGTTCTGCATTTCTTGCAAGAACATGACTTATATATTTTATTCGTTTGTCAAAGGGTTAATAAACAAAAACAGTAACTTATAAATATGGAGGTTTGTAAACTTATATGAACATTTACCGATGTCATTAGGTAAATGTATACATTTCCCGGAAATGGTGTGTAAATGTAACTTGAACTTAAATTTACCGACCAACCGATACAAGAACTGTATTAAAATATGGAATGAAACTATCGGATTCAATTAAATTAAACTTTATAAATATGAAATTGAATCAAATAAACTTATGTGCTTAATTAACGCTAATGAATTCAATTGCGTGTTGAAATATTGCTGTTTGTGTGACATTACGATTCCGTTTATCTTAATTATTTATATCTACATTATAAATTATGAAGTATATAATTTAATTATAAACTAGTTTATTTGGTTTCAACGATTGATTGCTAATTAAAAGTAAGTTTTTATTAATTTATTGTTTAATGCAAAATATAAAATTCTCAAGTTACCAAATCAATATTTTATATAATCATTATTTTGCTTCTAACTTTTGCTAACAAACTGCAAAAGAATGTTACTAATTTAGTTGTTTTTGTCAATTCAACAAATTTAAGTTTCAACTTTCAAGAGTTTTATTGTGAAGTAAATTTTTATACCAAAAACACGATTACGCAACTTTGAGTTACGCGTAAATATATAGATTTATTTTACTTTAAAATTGAAACATATTTTTGCCAAAAAAAAAAATTTAATTTTGTGCTTTTCTCGACTTACGCGAAAACCTTCGGAACCAATTAATAGCGTAAGTCGAGGACTTACTTTACAGCAATACCTCAAAAATCAAAGCAATCACTTATGTATAAAAATAATGTGTACTAATTATTTTAAGTCAATTTAGAATATTTTGATATATTCAATCCGTACTATAGTGAAACCGCACTGACAAAGCCGCACTATGAGAGGTATAGCAGTAGACTTAATAATATATTGATAATCCAATTTTTATATACCTTTGCAAATAATGCATTTATTACTTTCCAAATTTCATTAACACTTGTATAGAAGATCAGTTGTTAATTAAACAACATTTTCATCAACAAGTTTTGTATTATCATTAATACAATTAATAATTTTTTGTTAATCATAATTATATTGACGATTAACAACGTTATCAAATGATTGAAAGGTCATCTTTATAATTAGTTACTTTTATAGTTTGCTATTTCAGTTTTATATTGTAGATTGTACATTATAATTATATATTACATTATTGATACATATTGATTCTAAATTATATAATAATTTCTAAATAATTCAATTATTAATGGCTGTTGAGTCATTTATTTATATTTAAAAAAAAAACAAGTTAGATAATTTATCGACTCAGAAATAGATTAATTTAAAGTGTTCACAATTTTACGATGAAATGAATTGTTATTAGCAATTAAAAATGTATTGACAATTTTAGAATATTTACAAATATCTTCGTATAAATAATTTGAATCATTTACTACATAATATCTTTTATTGCAATATGAAGTTATAAATTAGTTATTGCAATATGTTTTATCAATGAAAATGTTTTGTTAAAAAAATTGTGAAAAATTTAATTTGCCTCCTGTGAGGTTTGAACTCACGACCCCTGGTTTACGAGACCAGTGCTCTACCACTGAGCTAAAGAGGCTACATATATGAAATAAATTTACAACCGCAGTCGAATTCCTCGTCATAATTAGTCCGAACAGAAAATTTCAATGGATACTTTAAAAGGATTAAAACCAGAGATACAAAGTAGAAAAACTCGCGCGGAATTTATATGTTTTAAATTCATGTAAAGTAAATGAAATCGGACTTACTGTATGATTGAAGGCAATCTGTTTGGTGTGCAAGTAGTTGCAAAGTAAACTCGACGGTTGTTTCCCAGTTGGCGATGTTAAGAGAGAGAAAAAAACGTAATTATTGGTATAACGAAGAAGTCGTCCTCCTATCTCATGTTCCCACAGGTTTCAGCACTACGAGTATGAATGAAAACGAACACGAGAGACGCACTTGCACAAGATGTAACGAGAGGAAAACGAAAATAAAACGTATAAAAAAGAATGAAAATACATGAAGAAGGAGCGCACGAAATGCAGTTTCTTTCAGGTTTCGGAACGCGCACCACTTGGGCTCTCTCTCTCTCTCTCTCTCGTATGCAGCGTTGCACCAGTTACATTGTTTACGTTTGTTTAAAAGGAATTAGGCGATGTTCCTCCTTCGGTGCTCTTTTTCGGTGTTCTGGTATTTGCTGGGTGTCAGCGTCCAGCGAAGAGCCTCGGTCGGTTGCAGATGGTTGGATGAACCTTGAGAGAGAACCTGTGGAATGCTGCCCGCCTGCCTCTGCCTGCTTCGATCCTGCCAGCACGCCACAGCACAACTCCACCTTTCCCCTCCTGAAAGAACTTTCTTCATGCGGACTCTATTTGTACGGCAAACGAAAGAGAGAGACGGAACGTTGCAGAGAAGGATAGAGAAATACCAATGGGAAAAAAGGAGCAGAACGGAGAGACGAGAAGCCGGCAAGAAGAAGTAGGAAGGCGGCGAAAATGAAAACAAAAACTGAACGACAAGGAGAAGAAGATGGAATCGCTCTAACCCTAACCGTTTCCAACGAAACGAGACTTCCTTTTTGGACGTCGTTTTTCTGCGACAATTTCCTTTTCGCTGGAAAAATCGAACGCCGCGCAGATAAGTGACCTCTTACCACCTTGAGAAACTGTGTTTCCATCGACTTCTCTATCTCTATCTCCCTTCGATTAATCTCTCTGTTCTGCTCACATCTGACTCTATATATTAATGAGAATTATTGCGTTAAACTGCAATCGCGACTCGAATTGTTCGCTGCGCTAATTGCGTCCGCATTACACGGCAGTGATTTCGACGCTAAAGCAGACGACGAACCCGCGACAAACATTTTTACGATCCTTCAATTGTCGCTCTTATTTACATTCTGAACATAGTTAATTATCATTAACGATTGCTAAAAGCAATATACAGAACATGATATCTTAAAAATACCACCGAAAACGAAATTAATACAATTTTAATGTGATTACATTTATATCTTACATTATATTTACTAATAAGTTTTTAGTCATGATTTGCTACAAATTTTAATAAATAGAATAAAATATTTTACTATTTTCTTTACATATTTTCATAATTAGTTTTTCAAAAATTTACATTTATTTAATAAAAATATATCCATTCATATGTATTGTAATGTTCTGAAAATTGTTAATTACTATACCAAACCACTAAAATCATTACACATTATACACATTAATTATTGTTTAATTATATACCACATTTTTTTTTATCAATAAATAAATTTCTAATCATTATAGATTAAGAAATATTACATGGAAAATATTAACTAACTAATGTTATTTTATATATTTCTTCTGATTATATATGAAAATGTTACATAATATACAAATTATTTAACTTTAGAAATACATAAGAAATATTAGTTGAAATATCATTAGAACTATGCAATTAATCACAATTTATTTAATGTCTACATAATGTCTATGATAATATTACACAAATATGTTATTTTTCTTTTAATTCATTTGTAAATGATGTAATTAAATAAATGCAACTTAAAAATATGCTCATCTTGGTAGTAACAATTTTGGTCATAAAGAGGCGTGAATTTTTTAGGGGCGTCGGTGTTTTTCTTTAATACCCAAAAGTCCTTTTCGGGTACTAATTTTTTCCCACTCCTTTTTCCTTTCAAAACTGAAGCCGTTCAACCCCTCGTATTTTGGGTTCTTTCAAACACAACAGACTTATATTAGAAATACTTTGTGTGTAAGTTTCCAACAAATATTATTGTGTGACACATTTGGAAGAAAAAATCTCACAATGTGTAGGATATATCGATAAATATCAATGAATTGAAATGATTGAATCTAAAAATTATAAGAAAAGTGAAAATTATATTTTGTAAAGACATTTTTAGATAAAAAAAGCATAAGAAAGAAAAATATTTATAGAAACATATGTAGATAAAAAGCAAAAAAAAGCTGAAAAATTAAATTATGTAAAGAATAATTGCAGACAAAAAATATAAGTAAAATGAAAGTGATATTATATTTTGTAAAGACATTTTTAGATAAAAAAGCATAAGAAAGAAAAATATTTAAAGAAACATATGTAGATAAAAAGCAAAAGAATGCTGAAAAATTAAATTATGTAAAGAACAATTGCAGACAAAAAGTATAAGTAAAATGAAAGTGATATTATTTATGTAAAGATAAAATAATGAAACTATGAAATAAAATATTGAAAGGAACATTTGTAGACGAAAATCATAAGAAAAATGAAATAAATATTACATAGACAAATGCGAATGCCCGGGGCCCACGGGCTAGGGGGGGGCTTCACAGAAATTAAGGAATATTTTATTGGTTTTACACTAATTTATATGAGAACTATGGGTTTTAATTAAACTGAAGTGTTAAAAACTCAATTAGCCAATTTGGGTATTCCTCTTCAAGATTGTAAAGGAGAGTCCTTTGACAATGGGACGAATGTAAAAAAGAAGGAGTTCAAGCAAGATTTTTGTCAGAAAATCCATTCGCATTTTTTGTGTCATGTGCAGCGCATACTTAAAATTTATTATTAGGAGACATGACTTTGACTATTCCAATGGCAATAACATTTTTTGTTGTAATTCAAAGGTTCTACGCAACTTTTTCTGGTTCAGCTGCAGCTTTTAAAGAAACATCTAGACACTACTTTCAAGAAACTCGGTGGTAGACTAGAATAAATGCTATTATAAAAGCTATTAATGAAGGCACTTATTGAAAAGCGAATTAATATTATTGTACCAACAAGAAATAAATTTTGAATTTGTGCTGTCAATTATCATCTGGTTTGATTACATCTTTTTTTATTGATCACTTAACAATCACTTAACAATTTTGTTGTTAAAATACCATAGAGTTACACAAATCAAATGTGTCTCGTTGATTTATTTAAGAAATTAAAGCTTTTACTAGGTTTGAACAGAATTAGGAATGTAATTTCCTACATTTCAAACATAAAAATACGTATAACGGATGGCCGGAGCACATTCAAAAGTTCCTTCACATCTCTACGGATCTTTAACAATGGGTAATAAAATGATGCGAAAACAGGGAAGAAGAAGCTCATTATCGTACTAAGAAATTGTGCGTGTGCGTTAGATATAGTATTACGTACCATTATTTAGCTAACAAGAACTGTTTTATTTACCAATAAAATAATTTTACTACCGGAGAACAAAGGAAATTTTAAATAAAAGGAAATAAAATAAAAGCTTAATTATTTTTTAATATTAGTGAAAATTACATGTTTATTTGCTGTTAATTTTTGTGTAATTAATTACAGTTTTAAATATAAAGAATTAAAATATTTGTATTTTTTCTGCAATAAAATATCTTCAAGAAGTGTTAAATCTAGTTATTGAAGCATGACTGAAATAATGGTGAATTGCATCGAAGTCACCACATGTTATTTTTACCAGGAACAGCGATTGTTATCCTTCAGTTAGAATGAACGACATATTGAAGTGTGCACTTAAATAGAAGCTAATTCTAGAAGAACTTACGATTCACAACAATAAAATTGCACATTTTGTAAATGAAAACTCATAACAAAATATTCAGAACAATTTATTATAATTATCTCATATTCAATAGTACGTTAAACTCTTTGAGGGACGCTAGGACACCAATTGTGCCACCTTTTCAACATGCCTAGTGGGGCATTATAATAATTATCTAGAAAATGTACAGGAAAGGGGAATTGTCTTTTAATTTGGTGGCTATGTCAAGAGATGAAGCTTGATAGAGCAGTAAAAGACGTTTATGTTGATTCAGTTGACGAAGTTGTCCTATTCACTTGTCTGGCTCCACTTGGGTTTAGAAATTTCTGGCCTTTCAAAGAGTTAATCGGTATACGAAATAGCATTTTAAACAAAGTAATATTAATATAGAAAAATAGATAAATTTAGAGCTTTTGATATAACGTTAATCAAGGAAAAAAGTTAACAAAAGTTTATGGAACACCGTCGTATTCAGTTTACATGTAATTAAAATGTCTGAGATCGCACGTAAGAATATTTACCCTCATGCATTTATTAGTATTTATTTAAATACAGCATATGGAAAAAAATGCAAATTATAATTACCATGTATATTCCAACAGTTTAACCATTTTCCACGCATTGTAATTACCTTATTCACAATGTAAATAAATTCTCACGCTTGAGTTCAAACGAAGGTATTTTCCATCCGCGGTAGCGTTCTATTCAATAAAATTACTTTTCCATTCTTTATTATTAATATTACACCGCATTTTCTTCCTTTTCCTTCTACATTATTGTCGATTTGTAAAGCCTTGCATAGTCCGGATTCACTGCAGTATTGGGAGTTATACCTGCTTTTAGTTTCTCGATTAGTCCGGTTTCAAAACGTCCGGAACTATGCTATTTCTGTATTTAGTTTCTCGATTAGTCCGGTTTCAAACAGTCCGGAATATTAGCGGAACTTATTACCCGTACTGTGCGAGGTATTGCTAAATGAAAATACATTTTTTTTGTATGAAAGTAAAAAGCTTGTTTTAAATTATATAAGTATTATTTTTTTCGCTATACGAAGAAACTATTAGAAGTTAATTTCTATTGAAAAATATGATTTTTATATAAATAGGTCAGATAATTATGGAATTTTAATTAAATAGAACGCATTGCATATCTGGATTATCCCGTTTTTATCTGTTTTCATCAAATTTGAGAGATTTGAGTAAATAGAAATGATCTACCAATATTGAACTTTGGCTTCAAGAACTTTTATTATTAGATTGATTTATCATATCATACGAAAGAAAATTTCTATGTATTATCTTATATTGGAGAAAAATGTCCAAGAAATCGTAATAAATAATAAGTTATTGAAATATTATCATAACTAAACACTAAGTTAATATAGGCAACCAATTTTACATAAGTAAGTAATTAAATCCAGCCCCCTGTGACCAAATATCTCATTTGTTCCCTTCACAAAAAAATACCATTGCTATTTGTGCCCTTTTTCCTAAAGCCGTCACCTTCTTCGATCTCATGTGCAAGGCATTACTGTAGCTTTACAAATCGACAATAATGTACAAGGAAAAGGAAGAAAATGCTTTCTAATTCGAATCTAATCAGCAATAATTTGATAAAAATACAAATATTTTGGTATAGGAGCACGTAGCAAAAAAAAAATCTTAATTATAAATATTGAATTATTTTAGTTTCGAAAAACTTCAATAATTATGTGATAAAAATGTAAGAATTTTTGGTAGGTTTTAATTTTTTTTTTATAATGATTAATTAAGTTAATGTTAATGAATATATGTGAAATACTCACAATACTCGAAATATGAAACAAAATGTCCATCAAGCATAGAAATTAATATTTGTTTATTTATGACGTGTAATTGGTACACCTGTAATAGCTTTGTTTAAAACTATATTATTTATAAAAATTGAATCACAATATTATTTAAATAAAAAAAAAACAATGGTCGAACTAATTATTTTTTATCATACACATTACAAAGAAATAATGATACTTAAATATTAATTTACTAATTTCTTTAGTATTAGAGAAAAATTAAGCATGTTTCTAAAGTTCTTCATATAAAATTCCATAAAAAAAATCATCTTTATTTCAAAATATTGATTCAATCTATATCTCTGATGAGATAATATACATCTGTTTCTTATATATATTTAGATAACGGAACACAAAAATTTGTAAATTCTAAAAAAAAATATTGATAAATAAGTTTATGGAAGATTCTAAAAAAAATTATACATATTGAGATGTAATTTATTATAAACATAATTGCAATGAAAAATAATATATATTTGAAAATATAGATACTTAAAAAAGATTGGAGAGCATTGTTATAAAGCACCTTCTATGCCAGGGGTGGCCTCATCAATAAGACTCTTGAAGAGCCGCATGCGGCTCGCGAGCCACAGTTTGGCCTCCCCTGATCTATGCAGTAGCACACTAATATTTACTATATACATAGACAATATAAATTATATTTTTTTAAATATAAATATTTGTATCTTTACAGAATAAGATATATAAAATAATGAATGAACATGTAAAATCTATGATGTAATATTATCCACAGTTATACATATATAAATTATATAAAAACGATAATTATTTGAATAGAAAATATTTTTTATTTGAAAATATAGAGATTATAAAAAATTCTCCTAACATACATATGTTTACTATATACACGTAGAAATCTTAACACTGCAATTATTACATTTTTAAATCAGTTTATTAAAGTTTCTATATTTAATATAAATATTTGTTTCTTTACGCAATAAATTATATACAATAATGAATTAACATGTTAATTAGAGGATGGAATGTCCTCTATACTTAATGACTAAATACCAAAAGAAGAAAGTGCAACTTGCCTCGTGTTCTTGGTCTTAAAAAATAACAAAGAAATAAATAATAAAAAATTCCGATAATAATTTAGCAATTTCCGTTGGAATGGGAGTGATCTGTTGATGTTGTTTAATGGCATCTGCAGATCACCCGTTTATGTATGATGGAAATTGCTGAATTATGATGATTTTTTTTTTAAACTGTGAATCCTGGAGCGCAATGTTGAACTCTGTTATCTGGTGGAGGAACTCTACAACAGTAGCTTGCTACGATTCCGAAGGAAGCCATGAGAAGAGATAGAGCAGAAAATCCACAGACTGCGCCTGAAGTCATGTCGGCCAGAGGACTGCCCGGTTTCGGCTGCATGAACAGTAATACTAATAGACTCGCGGCTGTTAGTAGACTGAAGATGCTTAGAAGGAAGTAGCCTGAAAGGAATTTGTTTATTAGTAATTTGATTTGATTGAATGATGTTTGTTGTTTTATTACCGGTGATGTAGTGACGATTGGGTAGCCAGTAGACGTTCCTTGATCTGAATCCTAAAAGACCTAGGAGGAGACAAGTAAATCCGGAGATGGCGCCGAAGTCGAGGTAATAGATGCGGCCCATGAAGGAGATCATGTAGAAGCACAGGGATGTGGTGACGCCGCCGCAGAGGATCATCATGAAGGCTGCAATAGCCAAAGTCTTCTGCACGGGACCGCTCAAATTGTTAAAGGAATCGTTCTTGGCGAAGGTGGTTTCGCTGTAGACGGATTGCACCGGACTCGAGCAAATTGGTGCGACTATAGCTGTATTCCTTTTGTCCGGGGTGCGCGTCGCTAACGTGTAATTGAGTTTCTGCTGAGCTTTCGGTTGCGGTTTCGGAATCGGTGAGATGGGAGTGGAGAGCTTTTGCGGCGTCTTCTTCGGCGTGGTGAGGAGCTCGTGGAGTTTGGCGGTTGCTGCCGGGTTCGCACGTCTCGGTTGAGGTGATATCACCGGCCGGATGTAGTCGTAACGGTTGGCGAGTTCTTCGACGGGCACCAAAGCGTATCGCTGCTGAGGGTCTTCGTCGCCGGGCACGACGGCGTACCGAGGCGCTTGACGTGGGGAGATCGGGTATCTCGGTGGTGGAGGAGGTTTCTGGTACCTCTGTGGTGGTGGCGGCGGCTGCGGCGGTTCGTAACTCTGCTCCTGCTGAAGAACTTCATAACGATGCACTCTTCCCGTCGAAGCATCGATCTCCTCATGGTAAACTCTCCTTTTTACCGGCTCACTATCCTGCATCGGGATATACTCGTACCGATACTTGGGTCTGGCATCGTCGTTATGAACTACAACAAACTTTTTCTCCTGCACCGCTCCTCTATCATCGACGACCATCTCCTCGTAGAACTCCTGCTCTTCGTATCGCGTATTTTGCGCGCCGATCGGCGATTGCCGCAAATTCCTCTGCGGACTTCTATTCTGGAACTCGCTTTGCTGGCAAAAAGCCGGGTTACTGTACGACTTCTTCTGCTGTTGCTGCTGCTGCTGTTGATGCTGTTGCACGGACATGTTGAATGACTCTTTCTTTTTTTGTAAATATCCTTAAATGGTGTTTATAAATTCGTGTAAATTTCCTTGAACTCTATATATTCGTCGATGACCGTTAAAGAGAGGAGACGTTCATTCGCGCGCTGTTACACAACGACTGTTCTGTTCTTCCTTTTCGGTGGTTCGGTCTAATGGTAACGGTAGAACCAGCAGCTGCGTCCAACGTCATTTGTAAATGCATGGGGTAGATAACAGTGGCGTACCCCAACTGAAGAAGAAAAAAATGTATATATTATCCCCTGCAACGAATTCCCCGAATATTTATCAACATTAATCTATAAATATACAACACTTTAGACACATGATAACAATTTGTAATTAATAACAAAATATAAATCATATTATTGTCAACTCCAATATTAACAAAAATAACGCTTTTATTTTTCATATATATATATTTATTTATAAAACAAAATGGCAGAAAGACGATAATCCAAATTTGGGTTAATTACATAATATTAATAATTAAAAAATAATATTAATATTAACAAACCACCAAAATATTAACTCAATATAATAACAAAAATTAAATTTAACTACTGCAAAGGTCTATTGACCATAGATCTTTATGTCCTTAAAAAAGCATTTTATAAAAATATCACTGTTACTTGGGTTTTTAACCTACAGTTCTTTAAAAATGCAATTTACTATTATATAAAATTCCAATAATAATGAAACTCGTATTGGGTTTCACAATATCGATAGATAATATAGATAAATGTTACTTTTTTCTTAATAAATTATTTTGTCTTTATGTCTTGTTAAAATTAGACTTTTATATAAATAATAATATAGTAATAATAATTTATTGGCCAAACATTAATACATAAGAAGAAAAAAAAAGTACAATTTATACATAAATAAATTTTAACATATAATAAAAATATATATCAATAGGCTGGCCAAAGGGCTATCGACCGAGGTCTTTCCGCCCTATATAAATATTAGTTCCAAAAATAAAGAAAACATGAACGAAATTAGTTTGTTCTGACATGTAAAACAATTACGTCTAAATTATTTAGACAACTTATGTTTTCACTTCCATCTAACATTTATCTCTTGATAAAAAAAAATAATATTTGTACTGTACAGTTAATAAATATACAAGGTATACCCGACATTTTCGTCATATTTCGCGCATTATGTTCTTGATGACCACAGTATTACATTGGCAAACATTAAGTAACAATTTATAAAGACAAACAAAACAAAATGACTAATATTTCATGACTTATTGAATTATTACCAAAGATAAGTATTTGTGCTGAATAGTACATAATTCAATATGTTATTTTCTTAACCTTAAGATACATCCCACTACTCTCATTTACAGTCTTGCATATTTGTACCAAGGTTTATAAAATGACAAAAATCAGAGCAATTTTAAGTTCTTTTAAACTTTATACATAATTTAAATTTTTTATTAATAATTATAATCTATTACAAATTTAATAAAACAAAGTAACTTATTTAATAATTTATTGTAGTTTTCAGTGTTTTATTCAATTTAGAGAATTATGTAACACTAATTTTAAGTTAGTGAACATATTGTTATTCTGAACATATGGTAAATTGACTTGTTGCAATGATACATGTAATTCACACTTTTTTTTTTGTATTGAGTATGCAATTTAATGGTTGTTCCAACATATGTAAACAACAGCTGTTGCTCATGAAAGATTTTCATTAATTTTGTTATCAGTATATCGATGTTATCAAGTATAATTAAAGATTTTTTTTTATCAAATAAACAGAACGTAATACTATTTTTTTACATAAACATAATATTTAAATTATCATTATCAAATCCATTTGAATTTATTTTTAATAATTAAATAAATAAAGAACATCGCGGAATAAATTACGTCAATACCTCGCAAAGTGCAACTTCACTATAGTAAGCTTTGAAAATTTGAAAACAAACTAGATTTTAGTTATGTTATAGGTAAGTGGTTTTAAAGTCCTCGATTAGTCCGGTTTCAAAGATTGCGCAATATTAACGCACTATGCGAATTATAATTAGATTATCAAAAACTGTTCTTTCTTCAACATAATTATTATATTTGTTTTATATCTTTAGTGTCCACTTTTAAATTATTTGTTGAAACGAAAACGTGTAAATTGATAAATAAGCTTGAAACATGACACTTATTAAATTATATTCTTATATATTTCTAATAATTGCACAAAACACTGTTTTTCAAGTCTGCTACTCGTTGCACAGTGAATGCCAAATAAATTGTAGATTCGGACAATATTGTTTAGTTAAATTGTTATATCACAAGTACTACTTGAATGGATCCAGGAACATGACGGAATTTATAAAAATAATCGTCTTTAAATGTACACAATAAATGTATATGAGACAAATAAAAGTAGTTATTGTACTAGTATAATTAAATTAGCTAAAAACTATAGTTTTTGACAAGATAAAAAATAAATCAACTTCCATATTTACTAAGACAGATTAGAATTTGATTTTTATGAATTCTGTTTTTAAGTGTAAGGGTATATTTAAATTAGCTAAGATAATGGACTTGTTACATGACAAGTAAAGAATAAATGGAACTAAAACAAAGTTTAAGTATAGTTATGTCAACTTCGACATTTTGTAAGACTTATTAGATTTATAATGTTAAGCTCTTCTTTTTAAGTTTACACTATAAATATATGAAATAAATAATTGAATTTATAGTTTAAATTACGTGATCTCATAAAACTAATTGCTTTGTATGTCACTAACACTAAATAATAATAAACGATCAAAAACAACAACGATTAATGCATTTTTACTTTTAGATAAGTTTAAAAGAAAAGTTTAAATGGAACAAAAACAAACAACTTGTATCAAAATAACAAGAAAAAATAAAATTAGCTATATTAGGACAGATTTTGAGTTTTGAGAATTGCTGTGTCTTCAAGTGTACGCTATAAATATATATTTGATACATAATTATGTTTGTAGTTTAAATTACATAATTCCATAAAAACTAATTCCAATATAAGTCACTAACTCTAAATATTAAGGCACTAGTACATTTGAATAAGTTTAAATAATTGACAAGTTAAGTTTAAATGAAAGCAAAGCGAACTTTCATTGACAAAAGCAAAATAAAAAAATATACCTATAATCTATATTAGGATAGATTTTGAAGATTTTGCTCTGTCTTTAAGTGCATGCTATAAATATAAATGTGATAATTAAATAATTATTTTTGTAGTTTAAATTACATAATTCTATGTAAACTAATTACTTATATAATATGTTAATAACACTAAATAATAATAATAATACACTAGTACATTTAAATAAGTTTAAATAATTGACAAGTAAAGCAAAATGAACTTTAAATATATTCATTGTCAAAACTATATTAGTATGGATTTTAAGCTGTATACACTAGAAATATAAATGTGATAAATAAATGATTATGTGTGTAGTTTAAATTATATAAAAAGTAGTTGCAATGTATGTCACTCTAAATAAGAACACAAATAAAATGCAGTTATTGACATCCTTTTTTGAGAATATTAAATTTCATTTTTAGTTGGATAAAGTGGATGAGATCGAAATACGCAAATATTTTCAGCCATAAATATGACTGTGAGCAATCATAAGCATTATTGATTTTTCGATAGGTTTATCGTGCGATTGTAGATGATAATATTTCGGAAACGTCGAAGCTACTTTTATCTGGGACACGTATAAATGCATTCGATTCTTCGTCTGACAAAGCACAGAAACATTCACACACCGGACGTGCAGCTGCTTTGAGCACGTGCCACCGGTGAGGGACACCCTACCCCTCCTTGTTTAAATTTCTTTTTTCGGCATATTCCAATCACGCAATTCCATCTGACGTTTTTCCTTTTTTCATGCCTCCGGAAGAAATGTTTAAATTTCTCATCAACGTAATCAACTTACTTTAATTAATCGATTCCAACGAAGTTCTTGAAAGGGGTTCGATTCGAAATGGGGGTTCGCATTTCTGGGTTACAAGGTTTTGAATGAAACAATGGTACAATAAAGGTACCAGAGCTCATTCACTTTCCCCTCTCAATATTGCCCTTTTAACGTGTGCTACGGGGCGGGAGAATATAGTAAATAGTCAGTGGCGTAACATAAAGAATTTATAGGTTTATTAGTAACAACAATATGTTTCTTATCAAAATCCCGACAGTATCAAAACTGATTATGGTTGTCGAGATTTCGATTGCCACCGGTTTTCTATATCTCAAATTATTTAATTACTTTACTTTAGTTAAGAAAATATCACAAATTTTGATACTTTAATGATTTTCATCTAAATTCAAGATTCTGCTGAATTTACAGAATGTTTACTTTATTTATTTTTAATTTTGTTGAATTTGTACAATACTTGTACTTTGTAATACTTGAAATAATTTTCAAATTTTACCAAATTCAAATTGGAAATGTTAAAATTATACCTATTTTCCGTCATTTTCCAATTAAACATAGTCTATATAGTTTATATTAGAGTATAAAATAATATTTAATAAATATTAGTGTAATATTATAATAAAATATTAAATTGTGTATAAAAGTAAGAATTTTATACAATTTTTTAGTTTATTTTTAATTCATTGAGTCTGAACAGTATTAAGTTATAGTATTATTATGTGCTTAAATTATTGTAAAATATTTACATAATAGCAAATAAATAAATATCTTTGTAATGATTACTTCTAATTGTATAGTAAAAGCTTGTTTATCAAGAGAATAAAGTTGCGACACATCGACTTTCAGTTTGTGTTTTAAGGCGTATATTATTCAGATCGATAAAATGATATATGTGCGTTACATATTTATGATTTCAATTAAGTAACAAAGGCCATAAACCTGTAAAATGTGGACACGCTTGCATCGCCAAATTCGAAGTAAGTCATTTGTATACGTCGACACCAATATTTTAATATTCATTGCGTGTCAACGCTTGAATTGGGCTAGTAAAAAACAAATTGTTACCTATAACTAAATAAATAGTAAATT